TCACTTTGAACCCAGTTCAACAAAGCTCACAAGGCTAACGTTCCTAGCACGGCACTACTCTTACGAGTGTAAAAGCTCAACGCAAGAACGGCCATATGCATCTCGCCCATCAAGATCACAACAGCTTCGCAATCCAAAGCTGGTTCCCAAGCTCACAAGTGACACGCCAAACCCGCTAGAGAAAAAGTTGGTGACGTCCCTTGATACTGCTTCTTCGCTGAAAACAGAAGCTAACAGATGTGTAGGGCTGGAGTTGCAGATGAGGTGCTGCGGAAAAGGGCGGCAGAACGTGCCAGACAGCAGGAAGCTGAGGAATCGGATAAAGAGAGCCTGCCACCATCCCCAAAGCGTCGCAGATCAGCATCATCTGAATCTGTTTCTACAATTTCAACAGGTGATTCAAGACACTCTCGCTCCCCAAGGCGCCGCTCTAGATCTCCCCCTCCGCAGAGGCCACGACAGAGCCCCGATTCTGTCCAGGGCGGCGGCAGACGACTTCTCGAGCAAAGTTTGAGTCGTAGCCCGCCTCCCGCTAAGCAAACTAGACGGTCCCTGTCAAGAGACAGTCTTTCACCAAGGAATGAGCGTCAGGAACAACGCTACCGAGACCGTAAGGACCCGGAGAATGAGGGGGTGAGGCCAAGGCGGTCTCGCCACCGCAGTCCACCACGCCACCATGCCAGGGAATCTAGACGACGTATTTCATACGCCTCAAATTCACCAGAGCCACAAGAGAGACATCCCCCTCGCGGACGAGATCATGGGTCACGACACAGCGATCGTGGCAGAGGAAAGGATGCCGAACCGCCTCGGCAGCGTAGTCTCAGCCCCTTTAGTCGAAGGTTAGCAATGACGCAGTCTATGAACCGTGGAGACAGATGAAGGGTATCATATGTTGTATTCTCCTTTGAAACTAGATAATTAAAATCATCGTCCCTGACTACCCGCCGATGCAAACTCCAACCAAGATATTGTAAACAAGATGCAAATATACAGCCTTTGGCACGGCTCAGGCCAAAAGAGCTTCGTCCTCTGCTCGCTCCCTCCTCTCTTCCTCTTCTTCTTCCTGTTCCCTAACCCTCAAGCCCTCCACAAGAGCAACGCCATCCATACCGACAGCATCCCCGTCGACCTCTGCGCCGTCCGCGGCTGCGGGATTCGTAGCTGCCTTTTGGGCCCCAGAGATCCTCTCTCGGACCAGCCGCGCTATCGCATTGTCCGTCCGAACATTCAAAATATCCATTTTTGCTTCCAAGTTCCGCTTCAGGTCCCAATTTGGTTTTTTCGGCTGTAGCTTGAACAAATCGAGCCCCTTGTCATCCTGCGCCTCTTCGGCCGCTTGCTGCTTGACTTGCGCCTCGACGTCTGCGGCTTGCTCTTCTAGAGTGGGTTTATCCAGGCCCTCGTTTGGCGCTTGGTCGAATCCAAGCTTGGGACCTTTTGTTTCTGGATCATAATTGCGTCCTGAAAGATGTAGACGCGAGACGTCTGCTTCTGGAGTTGTCGAGGGCGAGTTTTCAGTTTCCGGTGCGGCAGCCTCGTCGTCGTCGTCGGGCTTCTTTCGTTTGAGATTTCTGATTTTGGCAAGTCGCGACTTGCGCTCTTCTGACGCGGCGCTCAAGCTGTACTGAGAAGATGACATGGCGCGCAGCACTGTAGCTGTAGAACAAATGCTTCAATGCGCGATGCAGGTTTGGAGTAGATCTTGCTTGGTGGGGCAGCCAGTGGTACGTACTGGTCGAAAAGTCAAGTAGGACTCGAGCCGCGAGCTTGGCGCGGCGGCGGCTAATAAGGCATCCATGTCGCTACATTTTACATATTTTTGATGGGTCCGACGCTTGGGGAAAACGTCCAACTCCAATTCCAGATTCCCCCCCCGGTAGCCACCTTGTGCATGCGCCGTGACGAAATTCGCTGCAGCTTTTCTGATGGAAACTCTACCGTTATGAGTGCAGTGATTCGCAGATAACTGCCGTACCAGAAGATGCGGACGGCCTGCAGCCTCAGTCGTGTCGGCGGCGCCCGACTCTGTACCGCGCCTCGACTACAACCAAACGCTCGAGCAACACTGGCTAAGGCACAACGGCGCCTTCTCTCAAATTGCTTTCAAAGACTTCTACCTTCTGTGGAACCGGGCGATTTGTTAGGTCGAGCCCAACATGATGAGTGGCAGGCCGCCCTTAGAAACCGCTACGTGGAACCTACAACCCCTAAATCGAAGCTCACCAACACAACATCAGACCGCACCTCTGCGGATTGGGGGGGAGATACTGTCGACTTTGCTACGCATTGTCGACAACCAGACTCAAATAATACAGAATACGATGGCCGTACATCACGGTTCCGGGCCAGGCCAGCAAATCCAAAATCCCCAACTCCACGAAAGCATGGCCGACAAATATTGAGCAAGCCCAGAGCTAGGAGAGGCCCAATGAGCGAGCAAGATATGCACCAGCAATGGGGTTACCTTCGTCATCAGTACTCCGGGGATGAGCTGCTAACGAGGAGGAAGGCCTTCAATTCGTGGAAGGACAAGTTCTACAAGGTTGCCCGCAATCGTGACCCGTCTTGGCCTTGGAAAAAGAGTAGTCAATGGCTAGTAGAGCACGAGACTGTTGCAAGCATGCGCTTAGCTTGGCAAGAACTAGACAATGAGTCTCGACAGAAACAGTGGCCACGAATCATGCTCTCCACGATGTGCATCTGTCCAGAGAAGACGGCCATGGTTTTAGAAGCCACGCTGGACCCCTGGCCTCCCGGGTACGCCATCAACGATATTTTACTGTTTATCATGCAAAGGCTAGATCTTGCAAAGGCGAAGAATATCCGCGAACGAACTCTGAAAGCTGAAGAGGTAGCGGATTTGCTTCACAAAATAATAGTGGACAGTCGCAAACAACATGTTCCATTCACCCAAAGGCTGTTGGGACTGTCCGCCAAGAAGCTGCCCAGCGAACAAGCTTCCGAGCTGTACTCTCTTCTTCAGCGGTCAGAGATCAAGATCCATGCGAATACCATGATACAATTTGCCAGCAAATTAGCTAAAGACCCTGTCCACAAAGCAACTGCCTTTAAGATACTCCAGGCATTATCTGACAGCGGTGCCGATTTGAACGAGGCCCGGCCATCAAGCGTCATTACTTCATTGCTTCACTGTCAAGTACCTGAAGGAGTAGAACCAGTCCCAAATCATGCCTTCTCTCCGAAAGATGCCCTTGAATATTTTATACAAAGGGGGTTTACGTTGAACCTGCTTAGTGCAACAGCTTTCCTCGATACCCTTTCCCAGCAAGGAGAGGTTGACGAGGCAATACGACTTGCATTGCTCTTCTCTGAATCCGGCATTCAATTGGATCGCAAGGCCTGGGCAACCGTGTTCAGAGGGGCAAAAACCACTCGCAATGTTGCAACTGTTGCCAAGGCGCTGGACGTAGCCAAAGTGGCAGATGTTCCATTTGTGGAGGTTCTGAACAACGCGCTTCACAGTGCTTTTCATTTCGCCGGGATGGAAGCGGCGGAGAAGAAGAGCCAGCTTCGGTCTCCCCAGCCGAACCTTTTCGGGCCTCTGCTGCGTATATACGCCAAGAAATTCGACCTCCAACCGCTTCAGTGGTGGTTGCCAGACTCTCTGCCGTTGTACCTAGCACAAGGTATTGGCCAGCAAGGCCTTGTCCTGGGAAATGCATCACAAACAAGATGGCAATTTGAAACTACCATATTGCCATTTGTGGATCAACTGTTCTCATCAGGCGATGACACAAAGCTGCAGCCAAACTTGACGACCATCGCAATCATGATGCGAGCCTACATCAGAAATCTGCGGCAGCCCTACGACCTAATGGCATATTACCAATTTTTCAAATCAAGACTAGAGGAACAGAGCAAGGATGCCTCTATTCCGTCAGCGTCCCGACTGATCAAGAATCAAGGCAGCCTCATACACGACACTCTCATCTTCACAATGACAGAGCACGGTGAACTCTCACGTACCGCTCTCCAGGTGTTCGGCGACATGCTCAAGGACCAGCTGCACGCGAATGCGGCAGACGCTGGAAGGGTTCACGTGGAAGGCGACGGAGTGGTTGTGACAGCGCCGGTTCACCCAGCACCGACGGTGTTGACGTTCACAATCTTATTCCGGGGCCTGATGAACAACCGTGACCGGATGCTGGTGGACAAAATCGTTCAGGTTATGCGTGAGAACGGCATTCAGCCCAACTTGGCGACATATAACACCCTGACGAGCGGGTATGCATCCATGCAAGATGTCGCCAAGACGGTCAGCACGCTGCAGGACATGGAGGCAGCGGGGTTCAAACCTGATTCCTACACGTTCAAGGCGTTTTCAAAATTGAAGGACCAGGAGAGAGCGCTTCAGATGATGGAGGACATGATTCAAGTTAACCGACATGGGATGGGTGTATGACGAGCTGTGAGGGTGACACATGAAGTTGCATTGTTATGCGGGCGGCGTTGCGGCCGATCACTTGATGCCATATAGAATTGTACACTAGAGTGAAACATTGTAAAAAATAACAACATGGCTGATGATGGTACGTACAACTATTCTGGCGAAAGTGTGCATTTACCTATCGTTGGCATACATGTTCGGTGATGGCGCTTATGTCCGAGGGCCGTGGCTCATCCTGCTCAGCTCCCAACCATCATCACCATCCGTTGTCCGTCACCACTCGGCCACACGATTTCATGTCTCAAACCAGACATACGGGTCAAAATAATCGGTCCTCGAATCAAAATCTCCTCGCAAGCTCTAAAACCTCCCCTGGAGCGTAAACTACACTCGTCCATGTAGCCAGCCTCAGCCATCATCAGGACATCCATCAACCCACGAATGCCAGAAGCAAGTCTCACCACCTTCACGACCGTCTCCCGCACCAACTACTCCCACCGCATACGACGCAACTGCTTCTGCCCCATCATGCACCGCCTGCCAACGGCGCAGTGTCTTGGGCTGCGCTTATGCCTGGAATCCGGGACATCTAGACGCTTCTGGCCACGGATGGATCGTGCGAGGAGGAGGGGGAGGAGGAGGAGGAGGAGGATCGCGACCTCTTGCTGGGCGGCATCCCGTCCACCCGTTCCGTCGGCGGTACGAGGCCTTCTGGCAGAAGCCCCCCGTCGGTCGCCTTGCTCTGGATAAGCATACTCTTCCCCGTGCTGCCATTTGGCTCCAGCCTTGTGCCGCCGCGTCTGGCTCGTAGTCGTCCGGTGTCCTCTTCTCCTTGCAGCACGGAATGCCGTCCATCATCGACGACGGGCTGTGTGTGCGCCGCGTCGTCCGCTCCGCCCTGTGCGTCGAGCCACAGCCCTACTGCCACGTCCACGTCCTCGCCCTCGCCCTCGCCCTCCACGACGGCCATGAGAAGGGTTACGCCGCGCTCCCGCCTTATCTTGAGATTCGGACCATTGCGGAAACGGCATTCCCCAACCAGCACTGCACCATCATACCGCCTCATGCTGGAGATGATATATCTCAAAGGGGCCTGTGTGTCCTTCACGGGCCGTATCTCAGCAGCAGGCAGGCTGGTTCGCGGCGAATCTGCCGAGAATCCTCATCACCACGTCGAGTTTGGCTCGGCCATACGGAGTACATGTGCGGCCCCGCGGCAGGCTGTAGGAGGACAGGCACATGGTCGCCAGTCTGACATACATACTCCGTACTCCGTATATGCCATCACTTCCTAGTGGCAGCCATGGAGCTGTGCATCGATCTAAGCGAGGCGGCAGACGACAGGTACATCCCATCCAAACCTCAATCTCCACGGCGCCTGCGTCTCTCAACACGCCCATACTAACACGCCGGCAGTCCGAGAGACAAGTCCTCTCGCAGTCTGTCCACTCCATCTGGGCCTCTCGAGCGTTCGAACCGGACCCAAAGTCGCCAAGCACGCATCCCAAGCCCTGCGCGCAGGGCGGAACAGGCTCGGTACACCCAAACAAGTACACCTCTCCCCAAACGCATCCACGGCTTCGATCCCATGCAACCCCCTCCCCAAGCTCACCGGAAGGACAGACAACGCCCCGATAGAGAACTTGAACGCACTTCGCCCCCCTACTCGGCATGAACCATAGCCTCCCCAGCCCTCAGCCAAGGCATCACAGCCTCGAGTCACCAACTAATATGCTCCGCAACACGGAAGAGAAGAGAGAGAGAGAGAGAGAGACCGAATTGAGGCGCAGCACAGCCTTGTTCCTCCAAAAGTGCAACATGCGCACCTGCTTCACTATTACACAACATAAACCCTTGTACAAAGCATTCCCCCGCCTCCCCAAACCAAAAATTGAAAGAACATTGGAATGGCGGTCTGCGAGATTGAGGCACAGTCTTGTCACGTTTAGACGCGGCTGGTTGCGTAAATGGGCCAGAGACTGCAGGGAAGAGCCCGAGCCGCAGCCAACTATTGTTCAGACCACGGGCACAAGTCTGGTTTTTCTTTCTTTTCTTTTTTGTCAGGCAGGGCCGGTGTGCCGGGACTGAAAGAGGAGGGAGGGAGTTTGTTTTCCCGAGGCCACCGAAGCGCGCTTGAACAGGCTTCCATTCTTCGAGAATGGGGACAAAGTGCGAGCGGCCTCTGGGCGGGAGCGGCGACGTTACACAGAGAGCCCCCCCCCCCCCCCCCCCGGTCCTCTTCCTTGCCATTGCAAACGCGGGGACGCGCAACAAAGTGTCATTATTTATTTCCATTTAAATACCCCCCGGGTAGTTGGGTATCTTTCTCGCAGGGGAACCTTGATCTCACCTGTGATGGAAGCGTTGGGCCAGGAGAGGAAAGAAAAAAAGTGCAAAATGCACAACCACGACATTCGTAATAGAGCCAGAAGATCGAGTCTCTACTGCGTCTCCCATCCATTCACAGTACCAGAACGCTCCGCAAACCCTCCGCTACGATAAAAGTCTAAATCGTATTCCCCTCCCACGACCCTATTATCGTATAGCTCTTGGACGGCATAATTATACAGCATCCGTCCAAGAATCGAAAAAGAGCAAGATATCATGAAACTTTGATTTTCTGCTTAATTGCGTACATCTGGCCCCATATGACAGTTGTACTAGATGCTATAACTAGTCCATACTCAACTGCTAGATCAAACCAAGGGCAGACAATATTGTACAAGAAAAATATGTCGGTCGTACACATGGGTATCATGACACAAGATATGGCAAAACAAAAGAAACGCAAAGAACAACAAGAACAAAGGCTGCACGGACTGCAAAGGTCGCTCAAAGCTATGGTGCTATTCCTATTCCTCGAAGAACACGAGCCGGGTTGCCAGCAACGACAGTGAAAGGCGGCACATCCTTCACCAAGGGTTAGTTTCCTGACTTGCAAAACAAGAAATGGCGGTCTTGCGAACAAACCTTTGTAACAATAGATCCAGCTCCGACGGTGCTTCCCTTCCCAATGGTTCGGCCGGGTAGAATAATGGCGCCGCCGCCAATCCAGCAATCTTGCTCAATGGTGATTCCACGTCCAAACTGAGGCCCCTGGCCACCTAGACGTTTCTTGGGATCAATGGGCAGCGAAGCGGTAAAAATGCTGACGTTGGGCCCAATAACACAATTGTCTCCTATCTTGACTTCGCAGACATCGTTGATAGTACAGTTCCTACCAATCACCACGTGGTGGCCAATCGAGATGTTGTAGCCATAGTCGCAGGTGAATGGCGTCTCAACGGCGACATGTCGACCAACACGGCCCACATTTGTGACCGGAGATGCCTCCGTGGGAGACACACGCACGGGATCTCGGGGTTGCAGAATTTCTAAAAAGAGGCGCGCTCGTTCATCGGGCGATACACCATTTGTCGGTGGTGTAGTCAGGTTGTTAAACCGCCAGCATGCGGCTGCACAGCGTTCTCGTTCTAGGCACAACTCCTTGTCAAAGGGATAGTAGTGCCGTCCAGACAGCATTTCTTCCTTCTGAGTTCTCCGCTGTGGATATTGTGTGTGAGACAAAGCCAGCTGCGCAGCAACCTGAGCATTTGATGACGAAGACTGTGGATGTGGTGTTGGGCTACTGGTGCGGGCTGGATGTAGGATGTTGATTTGCGGTAGGTGATTACCTGGGTGCGGCGTCTCCGGCTCATTGCCTCGGTTGAGGTCATGTAGAGGTGGTACTCTTTGGTAGTCTTTGGGCATCCTTTCTCCAAATGGGGGAGGTTGCGTATTGGCGCTAACCGGTGTAGGGAAAACATTTGCAGGAGTATACGGAATTGCGGATAATTTATTGTCTGGACTTGTGGCAGACGCGCTTGTCATTGTTGATATTGTTGATGCTGTTGGCCGGTCGTCATCCGTGGCCAGAGGCCGGCCTTGTCCAGGGGTGTCTAGGCGAAGGATCTGGCCACGATAACTGGGTAGTGATTCGCGTTTGCCGGGCTGCGACCCATACGTACCATGCTGCGGCATGCCGTACGCTCCAGGAGGAACATAAGACGGGTCTTTCGACTCGAGAGGCACAGCAGGTGTTTTGGCATCTTGTTTTGGCCACCCGGCTCCCCGCTGTGGTGGGTATCCCGCGCAAAGAAATCCCCCCCGGATGCAATTGCTGCCTGGGTTTCTTTGTTAGTTCTCCGGTGGCCCGAAACGTTGGTAGAAGGGGGGGAAACAGAGGGAAAAGGGGCGTTGGTCATCAGGATATGGCTCTTACATTCAGGCTTTTGCTCATCGCACTTCTTCTTTCTTTTGCGGCATGTCAGGCAACCGGTCTTGGTTCGATTGCTAAAGTTTCTCTTGCGCTTTTTTGGGTCATGTTGAATAATGGAATCTGATCTGTGCTCAGTGCCGTACGGGCTTCCATACGTGCCGCCGGGCCGGTCTTCGGCATCGGGGCTGGTGTTGCCATAGTCACTGTGATCCACCTGACTTGTGGCTCTCCGGAGAGCATCGCCAATTTGTTCCTCAGTCTGTCCCCGTGGTGACGTTGCCGAATTTTGTTGTGAATCATATCCATTTCTCTCTTCTCGTGATGGTTCTTGGCTTTTCCATGCGGTATCCTTCTCTCTTTGATCGTCGCTATAGTGCCTGCTCTCTCGCTGAGGCGTACCGTACGCCTCCCGAGACTCATTGTTAGATGCACTGGGTGTTTCTTCTGGAGTACGCTCGTGAGCTCTGCTGTCGCGTCTAAGCTCAGCAGAACCCGACCGCTTGCGTTTGTGTGGGCCCTCGCCTTCCGGATACTTTATTGTCGGAAGGGGTTGACGATCTGTGGTATGTCCCTTCCAGGTGTCATTGCGACTGGGATGGGTTTCTGGTGACTTGTGTCGATAATTTTTGCCTGGCGCCGGAAGTCGTTCGTCTGAGGAGAATGCCCTTTCTGAGCTGTCAGCGGGTGGTTCATTTGCCTTGGGTGAGCCTCCGTTCAAGGCTGTGAAGGTGGACATGGCAGTTGCAGCTAAATTCCAAGATGGCGAGTCGAAATCGAGATGTTGCAGTACAAAACTGGACAGGCAAATTCTCTTAACAGACGGCAGGCAGTAGACCTGGAATCCTTGCAAGTCCCGAGTGTCTTGATGCCAATTCAGTATTAACGAAGGCGCGGGCTCGCAATTCGCATAGCTTTTCGGGGTCCAGCCCACGATTTGGTCGACACTTGAACAAGGTCGGCTTTGCGCTTATAACTCTATGGTGGACCGCCCTGTTGCGCCCCGAACACCAAATTACAAACACGGCGGCCTTGTCGCAACTTGGCAGCTTTCCCCATAGACGCCCAATAAGAAAGCTGATGGACGGTGCACCAGGAAAGAACAGCTTGGGAGTAAGTGTCACAGTTGGCGTGATTGCATTGCTCGAGCCAGAGGAGGAGGGTTGGCAGCACTGGTTGTCAGGTCCCCGCCGCCAAGGTGGTGAGGGAGCTTTGGTCGGGGGGAGGCAATCTGCACGACGAGGGACAAGAGACGAGGCGCGAGGCGGGCAGTGTAAAAGCAGCTTGTCAGCCTTTGCGTGGTTGATTCGAGAGGAGACGTCAGGTTCGCAAGCTCGTAGGAAAGCGCAATGGCTGGGGCGAAGGGGACAACGGAGGAGGAGAGAGAGCAAGCAAGAGACGGGCGTGCGGTGTCGCTGCAGGCAGCCAAGGGATGGAGAGGTGAGGAGGTGTAAGGTCGAGAGGTTGAAGACGGGGCCCTTTGATAAGGACGAAGACGAAGAAAGATGGATGAAGGATGGGGTCAACGGTGCAAAGGTGCTAGCTAAGGTCTAGAAGTCCCAAGGTGCAAATCCCAAGGTCGGTTCGGTCTGGTTGTCGGGTTTGAGGAAAGTGCCGCTCACACGCAGCTTCCTCGAGGACCCCGGCAACATTCGAAGGCCTGTGTGCGCTTGGAGCACTTGAGCGCGCACCAGACCAACCCTTTGATCACACAGGCACACACGCGAGCTTCAGGTCCCTACCAAGGTACGGAGTACTACTAGCAAGAAGCAAAAGCAAATGAGCAGTGGCAGATTGGTGTACGCGGGTAC